ACCTTCATGCATATGTCATTAACTAAATAGCAAAGCCAGGATGCAAACTTACCTAGAACAGTACTAGTTAGAACTCTGCTGCTCCCATCACCCAATGGTATATGTTCAGCACCTTCTTAACAGAACCAGAAGGGAACAGTTCTAAAAGCACCTGTCCAATTTCAAATACACATGGCCTATATCCAAATGCCTAAATGCACTAAAAACGAGGCCAGTCCTCAGCTCATTAGAGCAGTCATTAAATCCCATCACTGAAGCTCCCAGGCACTTGACTTCTACCCAAACCACAGTCTTAGAGAAACCATGAGGAAGCATCTTTCAAGCCAAACTAAAATGATTTATGAACAGTGCTCCCATCCCAGCTTACGTTGCCAAATTCTACTGATACACGGAACACAGCAAGGCAAGATACTGGGAAAAAGACAGCATTCTCATAAAACCTCTTTGTGTTATAGTAAGACTGATGCATTATGTTCCCAACCCTCATTCATTTATTGGACAATAACTAGACAGCTACACTCTGTCGGATGCTAGGGCTAGAAATGAGACTGCTCCTGGCCTTAAAAAATTCACAGTCTAGTAATTTAACAAAGTATATGAAAAAAATCTATACTCCCAGAGTGGGTCCTTCTATGGATATAAAAATCAAGACTACCTTTAGAAAAGTCAAAATGAGAAGTACACAATCCAAATTCTAAAGTCCACGCCCTTTATTAATTAGCTAGTCCTCCAAAAGCTCACTGATGCCCTCGCGTCACTTTACACACATTTAACAACAGACTTGGCTTTCCAAGGACATCTCCTAGATGGGCCATTTACCAGCTTAAGGCCCTTAGGCAAGCGACTTCACTTGCCCGAGGTCCAGCGTGCTCATGGGGAAAATGAGGATGAGCAGCCACACTTCAGACTGTTGTAAGGATTAAAGATAATTATGCAGTGCACCAACCCAGAGTCTGGCCTTTAGCAGAAGTGCAATAAATATAGCTAACATCATAATCACAGGATTTACAAGCCAATAACGAATTGATCAGAAAAATCAAAATAGAAGCCATGGGAGGGGGAGGAGAGACTAAAAACAGCTCTAAAATAAACAGCTGACAGGAAGGAAAGAGTCAAGAAAACTACACAGATAAAATCACTCAGAAACAGCAGCCTGGAGCCGCTGGCCTACACACTTCAGGAGCGGTGGAGAGCATCACCAGTGCTTTCACAGGACGGAACAATGATGCAGCTGAAAACAGCATTAAGCCACGTAAAACAGATTAAACTTTCTGTTTTAAAAAAGACAGATAAGCACATAACTGACTTTGGAAAGATTCCTATCAAATGTGATTTAGCAACACAAATTTAACATTTTACATGTCTAAACTTTAATTGACTGCAAAACTCTATTAACAAGTTTCTGCTAGAAGAACCTCTCAAATTTCAGGAGCCATTTTTTTCTAGTAAACACCAAAAAAGATGTATTTCAAATAAATCAACTGTGAAATATTTCAGTGTCATGGCCTAAGACAGCATCAGTTCCTTAACAGCTAAAACGAGATAAAGTTTCAGCGTCCATCATTGCCAAATGTTTTTATATCTAACAAACAAACACAAACATATGCCATGGAGAGATCTCTTTACTCGAATTTTCTCCCTACTTTTGGAAGGCGGTAAAAGGAGAAAAACATCTGTTCCTTCCTGCAGAGCTGGCAACCCTCATTCTATGGTTTAAAAATAAAAGATGTTTATGGAAGCTTATAGATATAATGATCACCTGCTTCAAAGGCAGCTGGCAATTAACTGATCCAAAGACACAGCAAAAACAATTTTTTTAAAGTGAAAAAATTTCCCTAAGGACAATACTAGTGCTCCCCAAGTCTCTGGTAATTTCCAAGACACCCATAAATTAGTAGAGGACGGTAAAGAACCAAATGTGATGCCGGAGGACAAGAAAACAGACAACAGCTGAGAAACTGGGGCCTGTGTCCATCTGGATTCACTCTTATACCGTAAGAACGGTGGTTTCCACGAGAGCTGCCTTGAGAAAATCTGGTTGTCTCTGACCAATGTGCACCTCTCATCCAGCCCACAGCAGGTCGGATGTCCAACAATGAAAGGAACTCACCTTATCAAAAACAGAAACTGGAAATCTCATACGTGAAGCCCTTAAATTTTATAATATCTCTTAAAAACAGTCTTTACTCTGTAGGTCGTCTTACAGTGTTGAACACCCAAAGTGAGTAATAAGCAAGGACAGTCAGACCTGAATCAGTAGACTCAGCTTCTATTTCTGGCTCTGCTCTGAGTGAATCACAGGGTGACCTTGAGAAGTTATTTCATCTCTCTATTTACCTCCATTTCCCCACCAGTTACAGGGTTAGATTCAATTTACCAATTCTTTTTTTTTTTTTTTTTTTTTGGAAAAAAAAGGGAGTGGGTGAGATAAATACATGGAAACTGCTACACAAATATCTACTGGTCACCCAACATCCAACGACACCCAACCATCAAATACAAAGTAGGTGATGTCCACATTAAAACCACTAGCTCTATACTTTTACTCTGCACAGCAAAAGATTCTGCCTGGGGCAGTCAACAGGATCCAGGTCCTTCCTGAAGACGACTCCTGTAAGAGTCCCAAATTTCCCACTGGAAATAGTACTTAAGCAAATTAAAATGTAATGCAACGTCCAAGAATACACTTTGACCTTGGACCTTTTTAGAGTCCTACGGTATTCAGGACTATCAATCCTCCTACGGAGGCCTCCTCCCCCACCCCCTGCCAAGGGGGCAAAGTCCCCGCACCCTCGACGCTCCCAGAGCACCGTGCTGCATCTCCGTCCCTGCGCAGGCAGTCAGTGAGCCTTGGAAAGGAAGAACCATGACTGACTGATGCTTGGATCTCCTACCACCTCCCATCCTGTCTGGAAGAATGTACGATGTACGTAGGCATGTATACACGTATTTGTTAAATGAAGGAAATGAATATATTTCCAAAGTCCAATGCTACTAGGATGAGCAACCATTAATATTAATGAAGGACAGTCTTAATTATGGTGACATTTTCATTTTTGGAAAATTAATATATAAATGAATGTTACCTAGCGAAAGAGGAAATACATGATTTCTCACCAACATTAAATTCACAAAAATTAACTCAAGAACTTTCCAATCTTCCTCCTTCAAAAAATGGTCTTTCAGGGGTTTTTAGGTTGTTTTTTGTTTTTTTACAATTTATCTAATGGGTATTAGATGATAAACATTCCTTTCAATTTAACCTACTCGATAAAGGAAAGAAAGGAAAAGAAGCAAAGAAGAGAGAGCGCCAAGTATGTAACATGACTAGAAGAGGCTACTCTTGTTGTTTTTTTTTTTATTCTAGTTGTAAGTGCCACTGGTTGTGCTATGTGGGATGCTCCCTCAGTATGGCCTGATGAGCGGTGCCATGTCCACGCCCAGGACTGGAACAGGCGAAACACTGGGCCGCTGAAGCAGAGCTGACTAACTTAACCACTCGGCCATGGGGCTGGCCCCAAGAGGCTACTCTTAAGTATAAGAATCCATAAATGTGGGGCCGGCCCAGTGGCACAGCAGTTAAGTATGCACATTCTGCTCTGGCAGCCTGGGGTTTCCGGGTTCGGATCCCGGGTGTGGACATGGCACCGCTTGGCACACCATGCTGTGGTAGCCATCCCCTATATAAGATAGAGGAAGATGGGCACGGATGTTACCTCAGGGCAAGTCTTCCTCAGCAAAAAAGAGGATTGGCAGCAGATGTTAGCTCAGAGCTAATCTTCCTCAAAAGAAAAAAAAAGGAATCTATAAATGTAAAAGACAGGCCATAGGTGAAAATAAAAATGTGGTCAAACAAGTCACGACCACAACATTAACAGCATTTGGCCAACCAAGCAGTAGCCACACTGACCGATAAATATCATCTAAATAATGTTTTATAGATAGCCTATTTATTAAAGTAATAGGACGTAAGATGTTCAGCTTTTCAAATTACATTTGAAATGTTTAATCATTGAAACATTCATCACAAACCTACCAGCACCTGCATGAATTTTCATTTTTTCCTACTCCTTGAATTCCTACTCAGTATTTCATTTCGTAATGAAGAGCCAGGGTTAATAAACATAAACGTAGCCACCCTCTACCATTGGGTGCTGAAGGTAAGGACTTGCCACCCATAAGCCTGTAAGAAAGGACGAACTCATCACACCACTTGACCTTTACCACAGTAAACTGACCCTTCAGTCCAGCCTTAGGGTGCCTATCAGAGTCTATAACAAATGCTAAGGAGAGGTACCAATCTGGACCACGTGTGCCTTTGGCCTTCTCACCTTCACTATCTCCAAGTTATACCTTCTTTGATTGGACCATGAAACCAAGTAAAACTTATCCCTAATACTCTATTTATTTTTTAATCTTCTACAAGCATGTATCAGATCTAGTTGCATCAGCAAACAGGAGTGACCACTTAACTTGACTAAGTGGTCTACCCAGACGGCTGCATGATAGAAACTACGTACCACATATACACACGTACTCAAAGATACGCACAGTCAGGGATCACCTTTGGATGGTACTAGAATGACCTGTTTCTCCAACACTCACCCTTGTCAAAGGGCCATGAACAATTTTGTTCTTTTTAATGCTGTGAGGATGAGGAAGAAAAAGAATGATGGCTTAGCTAACAATGCAGAAAAGGAGTTTATGTGCCCGGCATGACACTAGACGTAGAGAACTGTAGATACCCTGGAGAAATGGACAGAGCAGCCCTTTCTAGAGATGACGTAGGACAGACACAACTAGGTTGTTCCCTTTAAGACCTTCTAAGAAAATCGAAATTTCACTAAGCGGGTAAGCGGCTGAGCAGGACGTAAAAGGACTCCCCGGGAAAAAGGGACACGCCAGGCAGTTCCCGGCTCTCAGAGCCGGGGCAGGTGGCAGGGCAAGGCCCCGACGGGCAGGCGCCGGGCGCCCCGAGGCCGGCGGCAGGGCGCGCTCACCTGTGAACACGTTCTGGAAGCCGTCGGCGGGCGCCTGGGCTCGCGCGGGGGGCGCCCCTCCGCCGCTGGGGGGTCCGGCCGCGCGCTCCAGCAGGTGCGCCGAGCCCCCGGGCCGCGGCGCGCGGGCGCCCAGCTCCTCCGTCCAGTCGGCCGAGCGGCTCAGGCCGCCGGCGAGGCCGCCGTCCGCCCGCTGCTTCTTGGCCGGGGCGGCCGCGGAGGCGAGGGCAGCTCGGGGCCCCCGGCTCAGGGAGGACTCCAGCCGCCTCTTGATCCTGGGGCTCTGGCTGGGGGACTGGTTCGGAGAGTGGTTGGGCGAGCTGAGCTGCCGGGTGGTGGTCTTGATGTAGCAGGGGGTGATGAGCGGGTAGGGCTTGAAGCAGCGCGGGCTGGGTGCGGGGCTGCCGGGCAGGGAGGCGGCCGCGGGGGCGCCGGGCCCTCGCGCCCCATCCTCGGGCTCTGCCCCCAGCCTCTGCGGGGCCTCTCCCCGCTCCAGGCCCCACTCTTCCCCCGGAGAGCCTCGGGGGGCATCCTCAAAAGCATCCTCCTCGCCGTCCTCATCCGTGTCCCCAGCCCCGCGCACAGGGGCTCCGGCAGCGCCCTCGCCAGGTACGGACTCGGGGAAGGGGAAGGCGGTGGACGAGGGCGAGTCTGCGGTCGCGGGCTGGGCCGCCGGCAGGCCGGGCGCCTCCGAGGCTCCGTGGGCGCCGGGGGGCTGCGGCTGCTCGGGCAGCGGGGGCTCGGCAGCCAGGCTCTCGGGCAGGTCGGAGAGCGCGGACAGCGCCTGCTCCGTGTCTGGACTGCCTGGGGCCTCCCCGGCTGCGCTGCTCGGCCCCAGCAGGAACTGGTCCAGGCCCAAGAAGGCCCCAGGCTGGGGGGAGGCGGCGGTGGGGGGCGCTGCAGGCTCCTCGGAGCCCTGGAGCTGCAGCTGCTGCTGGAGCTGCTGCTGCTGCTGCAGGCGGATCGCCTGCTGGATGTCTGAGAGCAAATCCTCCTGTTCGGTAGCCGAGTGAAAGCTATAGATGTCCGTGTCCGAGCCTGAACTGGTCCTTTGTCCATCCTGCGCCCCTGCCGCAGCTTCCAAATCCCCAGCGACCGCCCGGCCCCCGGCCCCAGCCTCGGCTGGCCCCGGGCCACCTGGACGGGTCACCTCAAAAGGGTCGGCACACTCGGTATCCGACAGGCCTGTCTCATCCGCCGAGAGGCTGAGGTCCGGGGTCTTGGTGGCCAGGGAGTGAGCGCTGTCCAGCTCCCCGGTCTGCAGGGCCTGGACGTCCAGCACATCCTCGCGGGAGCCGCCGGCGCCTTTTCCCTTGGACAGGTTCTTCCTGATCCGCAGGTTGGAAAACACCGAGGCTCTGGAGTCCGACTTGCTCTTCTTCTTGCCCGGCTCCCCGCCGCCGCCGCCACCGCCACCGCCGCCGCCGCCCCCTCCCCCTTTGCCGTGCTTGCCCAGCGCCTTCTTGCCCCCGCTCCCCTTCTTTGTGGCTTCCACATCTCTGGGCCCAACAGCATCCTCGGCGCCGCCGCCGCCTTCGTGCAAGGCATCACCTGCGCTCCTCTTCAGCTTCCCATCCTGGTTCCCCATGTTGTACTCCCGCTGCTGCGCTGCCGCTGCGCCTCGAGCAGTCAGGCCATCACGGCCCTCCTCGGCCCCCGGCCCGGGCGAGGGGAGCCTCCCAGGCAAGTCAGGCGGCGGGGCGAGCCGCTGAGAGAGGAGGCCGCCGCGCGCCCGGCCGGCCCCGCGCGCATCTGCCTCCGCTTTGCATAATGCGCTGCGGCCCGGGGCTGGCGGGGCGCGAACATGCTCAGTGCGGCGCGCGGCGCCCGCCAATGGCAGCGCGGGACGCAGCCCGGGCCCGGCTCCCCGCTGGCCGCCGCCGCCCCCTCGGCCCCAGCTCGCCTCCCGGCTGAACGCGGGCGCGAAAAATGTTTCCTCTATCTTGGGAACTTTAATCTCCACCGTGCGAATCGAATGCATTGTTACCGGCTGAAGAGCTGGTCAGCTGGAAGATGCACACCAAACTTCAATGCTCAGGGACCTGCCACGAGAATAGTTAAATGAAAAAGAAAAGTTTAAACGGGGAAAAACTGAAGCCAAGTCCCACTTTAGAGGTGCTGTAATATCAGGGCCATATACACACCCCACCCCCACCCCATGCAGAAGCATGGTCCTTCAATAAATATTTGTGGAATGAATGGCTTTTCCTTAATAATTGATCATCTTGAACACTGTTAATGTGCTTCAGCATATGGTTTAGGCAAGGTTACCACATATAGTGCTGCTTTTATGTCTCATGCAGACCTTGCATCTCGATGAGAGAACACTAGCTGTCATTTCAAAAGTTCATTTTTCAAACTTTGTTTGACAAAACGGCGAGGAGGGGGAATCAGAAAATGCTAAGAGATTAGAGTTGATTAAAATGCTAATCTCCAAAATTCTATGTGTTCACCATATAAATCAAACAGCATTTGTATTCAAAAAGGGTGCATATGCCAAACTCCCAGGAGGTCAAACTCATCAATATTAAACATGTTCCTATTGTTGCTGCCCATAAAAAAGAAAAAGACAAAAAAGAAACACCCTTGGCGGCACAACTCACGAAATCAGATGTTATGCTGTTCACCACCGCTTTCCCAAGCAAACCCTTCAAGGCAAACTGTCCTTGCCTTTATTATAAAAGTTTGCAGCAGTTTACAGTAACGGAGTTTCTTAACTTTCTGGCTTCATTATTAATATAAAATTTTTCCTTCTTGTAAATCTTGTCACAATTTTAATTACTTAGGAAATTTAGTTACCTATATTAAGAAAGCATTTTTAAACATCATTGGTATCTAAAGAAGCTCCAAACTATAAATAAAAATAAGATTAAAGTGGCATTAATCAATAACGTTACAAGTATTTAAGTTAGAAGTTCACTGTTAACCACTCTGAAAATACAGAAGTGCTATCCAGCAGGTTAGTATTTTTAAAGTAAGCCCAAAGGAGCCTAAAATACTACATGTTGTATGATGCAATTTAAATGCAGCTGGCATATGTTCCTTCACACATTGTGAAGCAACATTTTAAACCTCCCTACTTAAACATTTTTATCAAAATAAAAAAATTGGTCATATACGTCCTTGATGTAAAAGCATTACATAGCAATAATTTCTGGCCTTTTTCAAACTGTGTTCTTAAAAATAGATGCTAACTTAAGGGCAGGTGGCCAGTTGTCCTCAGGTGGCCCTTTTGAGTAAAGAGTTTGGAGAAATCAACTTTAATAGCTTTGCCAGGGTACTAACCCAGTCTCGGAGGGATTCCGGAGCACTTGAAAAGCCTTTGTTTCACCTCCTTCACAAGACTGCTCTCTTCTTGAATCTGGGCTCCTCAGAGGGCACAGTTTGCCTAAGGCTATTAGAATTGTCTGCTTCTTTGGGTACTGAGGTACTATGAATTTTGATTTTTGCTCTTTCTTTAAAGGGATGATTTTGATTCTGAACTATTTGTTTCCTTACTATTTTCTTTTGGGATCTGTTCTGCAAATTCTGGAGATAAAAGGAGTGAGGAAGGAAGACAGGGAAGGGGAGAGAAGACCGCTGCTGTTTGGCATCCTTTGAACGTGAAACAATAGATGACAGCTGTGCAGCAGGTCACAGCTGACAAAGCTCTGTTACACGCAAAGGCTTGTTTGAAACTCACAAGTGTGGGTATCAGATGTAGGTAGTACCCTCAACCCATTTTAATTAACGAATAAGCTCAGACTAAGATTTGTCCAAGGTCACAGAGCAGCAAAGGTGATACTTGGACCTATGAATTTAGATCCCAAATTTCTTATAACAAACAACACTGTGCAGTTTACTCTTGCACGGACTGGTAAAAGCATCAAAGGTTTGCCAAAATATTCCTTGGTATTTAGCAGTCCCAAAGATGCCTGGGACATGGCCTAAGCTTAACTCCATTGGAGCAAGAAAGAATATCACACCTGTAGTTGCAGAAACATTTTTAACAAAAAGAGATCCTACCTGTCCACAAACTAGGTGCCAGGATGCAGAAGAGAAATAGGCAAATGTGGCCAACGTGTCTGTTCAACAACCTAATCTAGAGTAATTGTTGGTAAAAGTCTTCAGTATTAGCATCCCCAAAAGGCACAAAAACGGTATATAAAACAAAATGCAGGGCTACCCATTTTCCAATAAAGGGAACTGGATATGGACTTTAAAAATAATATAAGAAAAAGTACATTGGAAAACTTTAAACAAATGCTGAACTCCAATTCATAATATGCATATGCAGACATAGGTGGGATAAACGTATTGATGTCTGCCTGTCACTCTAAGATATATCCAATAAATAAGATGCCTTCATGGACAGATATGTGATAAAGCAAGTATAGCAACATTGTAATTGTATAATTTAGATGATGAATATATGAGTGTTGCTGTAAAATGCTTTCAGTTTTTCTGCATGTTTGTATGTTTCTGGGTAAGAAAGTGAGTGGCAACAATGTGTGAATTTCCCAGCCTCTTTGAAATTAAACTCGTGTACTGGTTAATGGCACTCAATAAACACGAAATGAATGAACAGTTCTCCTCTTCACTTTCACCTACCTGTTTGTCTGAATTACATCTTTTCTTTTTCTCTCTTTCTTCAGCCCTCCTCCTCCATCACTCTCTCAATTGACTATAAAATACACTGAAGTGGTTTTGATACTTGTTTTTTTAGTTTTCTCTCTGCTTAACCTTGGTGGAATGTTTGAGACGCTCTAACAAAACAATCAGACTGTGTTTTAATTATCCAACTCATCCTTGTCTCCAACAGGTGAATGACCTTCTCTTAGCAGACAACTCTGCCCTGACGTCAATTACTAAGACTTTGCCTCCCGAATCCACCTCTCAGCCCTGACTTCACGCCTACACTCCTGACCCCCGGACCCACTTCCTAGAGAACACTTCTACCACCATGCCCCCACTCAAGCCCAGCATGTCTGAAACTGAACGCATCATCTCTTGCATATCTCATCCTCCTTTATTTTTTTATCCAGTAAAAGCACCACAATCTCTCCAGTTGCCCAAACCAGACTTATTGCTGACTCCTCCTCTCCTCATTCCCCAACATATACCAGTCACAGAGACTTCTCTATTCTACCTCCTTAAACTCTCTCAAATCCATTCATATCTCTCACCCCAACTGCCACTTCTCTTGCCTCCCACCCCCACCTCCAACTCCCATCTGTTCTCTCTCATAATCATTAATGCTTCTCAACTGGGGTGATGATTTTGCTCCCCAAGGGACATTTGGCACTGACATTTTTGGTTGTCAATGGAGGAGGTTCTGCTGGCACCAGAGATGCTGCTGAACATATGCGTAGGATAGTGACCCACCCCCCAACCAAGAATGATCCAGACCCAAAACTCAATAATGCTGTGGTTAAGACACCTCCTTTACCATGAAGTCTCTCACAGAGCTGATGGTCAATAAATGTTTACTGAATGAGTGAAAGAATGAAGATTCTTTCAAAATTCCATTTTTCAGTTATTAAGCTAAATCAGAAATTTGAAGGCAGAACCTAACAGGACAAATAAAATTTTAAACTCTGTATCTATAGTACCAAACACTTTAAATGGGGAATTAACTCTTCTCTGAGACATTAGTACATGAAGTGTTTCCATGAAACTATGCATCTGTATAAATACTCCAATTCCCCACACACTTGATAACATTATAAAAAATCCTTGCTTTTACCAGAAATTTTCTGGCAACCAGGACAGAATTCCCAGAGCTCTTTTTACAGAGATAATTATGTGCATCACAAACAAGTAGTTATGTAGCTTTCGATTTTTCCTGCCATCTTTCATCTTATCACCAATGCAGCACTTGGAAATAAAATGTGTACAAAACAGAGAAAAAGTCAAATATTACTTCTCCAAGCAATGTAGAGTGTACTACAAATTTGTTTCTATATTAGAAAAGAGTTAAAGGAAAGAATTCCAGGTCACATCTCTTCCTCCCTCTTAGATATGGAGGCACACGTAGATTTCAACACGTCAGCCAAAAAGTTTCTGGCTTATTTGCAACTGAGAAACAAAGGAAGAAATGAAAATATGTATTTTCTTCTTACATCACCAGGAATCTCCTACAAAGCTAAAGGGTTCTGGTATTGAATCTCCAGATATACCCTTTGTCAGTGAAGTTGGCCTTTGTACTCGAAAGGGACCGCTCAGGGACTATCAAGTTGATTGTCAACAACCATTCAGAATTTGCTATGGAAAGCCCACTGTAAGTGTCTCAGCCCATCATGTGCCTTGTTCAGTGGCAAGAAGTGACAGAAGGATTCTAAAGACAGAGCCAATAAGAAATGAAGGTCAAGGAAGCCAATCGTTAGCCTTAGAGTAGCGCTTTCCAACACAACACAAGGCAAGCCTCATCGGTAATTTCTAATTTCCTAGTAGGTACATTAAAAAGGTAAAAAGAAACAGAGGAAATTAATTTTAATAATATATTTCACTTAACCCCAAATATTCAAAACATTTCAATAAAAAAATCAGTAAGAATTATTAAGGAGATATTCTACATTCTTTCTTCATACTAAGTCTTTGAGATCCAGTGTGAATTTCATACTCGCAGTAACATCTCAGTTCAGACAGGCCACATTTCAATTGCTTGGTAGCTATTCATGACAAATGGCTACTCCTTTTGGACAGTGCAGCCTTAGCCTTAGATTTTTGAGAGATTCTTGAGCAGCTCAGAATCTGCAAAGGCTGACCCAAACCGTGTTATTGAGTTTTAAAACGGTATTATGTATTCTGATGGACTTAAAATGA